ACAACCCAGTGACATCTTAGCAAGATGTTAGCCTAACCAATATTTCGCGAATAAAACCGTACTTTTTTTCTTTTTCTCTCGACAACGAACACTCACCAACCGCAGTGGACTATCTCGAGCAATAATGTTAGCCTACCAAATACCGCGGCTAGATAAAAACCCTGGGTATTTTTTGTTTTTTTTTCTCCTCGACAACACACTCACAGACCAGTTGACATGCTTGAGCAGAATGTGTTTAGCCTAAACCATATTTCCGCGACTAAAAAACCGTATATTTTTGTTTTCCCTTCTTTCCCGTCCGATCGACAACCCCGCTTTGCGCTCGCACCAGAAACCTAGTGAAAATCTTTGGAACAAATGTTAGCCCCTATACTATTTCGTCGAATAAACCCTTATTTTTTTTTTTTTTTTCTTTTTTCTCCTCCTTCGACAATCACCGTACAGAACCAGTGACATCTTGAGCAATGTGTTAGCCCGTCTAACTAATATGTTTCGCGAATAAAACGTATTGTTTTTCTTTGTTTTCCTTGTTTGTCTTCGACAAAAAACCACTGACACACCATCTCAATCGACATTTGAGCAAATGTTTAGCCTAACCAGGATATTTCCGCAGACAACTAAACCGTATTTTTATATTTTCTTCTCTTTTTCTCTCGGACAAAACACCTCACACCCCCAAGTCGGACATCTTGAGCAAATGTTAGCCACCAATATTTCGCTGAAGAAAACCGTTATGGGTGGGTTTGTTTTGCAAATTCGTGTTATCCCAACCATACTTCCACTTGAAGATATGGGTGTAAATCTTTTTTTTGGGGAGGATTTCCCGTCTATTCATGGAACACATTCTAGTGAACTTACAATTAGTTGAGCTGGGATGAGAAACCAAGAAGCTCACTATAAAATTCATTTGTTTTATGAGACTGTTTTTTAAAATTCATATATGTATGATGTTATTTTTTGTTCTTTGTTATTTGGCATGTTATAACCTACGTGGTGGGCACTCATGCAGAGGACCCAAGTGTAGTATGCAAATTCCGACACCATGGAAACAAACAGAACAGAGACGAAAGGAAGACAGAGAGAACACAAACAAATGGACGACTATAAGCTGAAGACCTTAAGCCTAAAATTTTTCCCTTTTCAGAGCATGTGAAACCCTTGAAGGAAAACAATACAGGAAAAAGACTAATACGGGTATATATTCGTGTATTTTCTTCCTTCTTTACCCTTTCGTTGTTCTCCTCTTTTCAATTTGTTCATGAAAATCCTACAATCCTATCATACATTTGGGTCTACACCCTTGTTGCATAGAGACTTCACTAATTGATTTACATATTTAAACTCTCCTACGAGAACAACTTGGCAAAAAGAAAGAAGAATGAAAAAAAGTGATTATTTCTCCCCCCAGTTTAGTTTATTACCAAATTGCTTTCTCCAGGAATGTTCCAAAACCTGTCATCTTCTTTTGTCTTCATCACGTAAAATTGGTTCCTCATTTTGAATAACGGAAATTTTAAATGACTAATAATGATAATACATTTT